GTGTGCAGAGAGTCGGCCCGGGTCACGGCTACACATGCGCCCGTGTGTGCAGAGAGCCAGCCCGGGTCACAGCTACATGAGCGCCCGTGTGTGCAGAGAGCCAGCCCGGGTAACGGCTACACATGCACCCGTGTGTGCAGAGAGCCAGCCCGGGTCACGGCTACACGTGCACTGTGTATACAGAGAGTCAGCCTGGGTCATGGGTACACGTGCACCTGTGTGTACAGAGAGCCAGCCCGGATCACGCGTACATGTGCACCCATGTGTACAGAGAGCCCTCGGACACCCGTGTGTACAGAGAGCCAGCCCGGATCATGCGTACATGTGCACCCGTGTGTACAGAGAGCCCTCAGGGACCGCTGCAGTACTGCCACCCCACCTGCCGGTCCCAGAAGCATCCGTCCCTCTGTGAGGGCAGAGCTGCTGACCTTGAGCACCTGGCCACATCACACACGAGACAGAGGCTTCCAGGTTCTCGCTTGTCTTTTGGCATTGTTAGGTTCCTATGGTCATCTTCTTTCTGTCATTCTTTTGTCCTTTCTCCTTTTTCTTTTTCCAGTTCGCCAGAAAGCTCATGCACTCACTGGAGGGAAACCGAGAAAGAGAGAAAAAAAAGTGCAAAAGCACCCTGCCTCACCCCACAGGGAAAGGCCAAGTTACAATCCCTCCTCCATTTCTCCCTTCTTTCAGGGCTTTGGGCATGCACACACAGGCCCAGAAGGTTTTCCAAGTTGCCAGGTTCGGCACTCCAGCTGCTTGGTCAGCCACGCGAGATCCAGCTGCCTTAGCCACCGTGCCATTGACCGGCCCTGTCTACAGATTTCTAAAACTTTACATTTTTACATGATCACAATTATCCGTATTTCCTTTGTGCTTTTGAAAGGCCTCATCCACCCAAAAATTATACAAATACTCTCCCATGTTTTCTTACAATATTTTTCTGGCCTCTTTTAGTGCAAAATCTTTGAGAGTGAAGTTCCATTTTCTGTTGATGTTCAGCATTTTCAACAGACCCATTCCCATTGCCAGAAATCACGCCCTGTTGGTTACAATTATGTATCTCAGTACTGAAGGGTGATTGGGCTTCACTGCTCCACGGGTGCCACACACAGCACCCGCCCCAGGCTCCGAGGCCCGCCAGATGCGAGTGGGCCCATGGGTCACTCCTGCAGCACCACCACCCCCCCATGGTCTTCTCGAGCATGGTTTCTAATTATGAGCTCAGTGCACATTTGATTAATGCTTGTATGTCCCCTGCACTCCCGGACTAACGCAGAGTCTCGAGTACTGAGACGTGTGACGAGTGAGCACGCGAAAACAAGAGCAAAGGGGTGAAAGGAAGCGCAGGCTGCAGGTCGCACTCGTAGCCTTTGTCCTCCACATCCCCAGCCCACCACTCTGCCACACTCCCCTGGCAGCTCAGCTCCGATGGGGGGTGACCTCGGATGTAGCAGGATTGAAAGCAGCAGTCTGGCGCCTGGACCCCGGAGCACAGGCTGCACTAGTCCAGGTAGACGCAGGTCCCTTTGTCTCGTTAGACTGAAGCACCTCAAAACCAGGGGCATCTGGTATCCGCTGTCACATCCCTACCTCGTTACGCAGAATTCGATGGGGGGTGACCTGGGATGTAGCAGGATTGAAAGCAGCAGTCTGGCGCCTGGACCCCGGAGCACAGGCTGCACTAGTCCAGGTAGACGCAGGTCCCTTTGTCTCGTTAGACTGAAGCACCTCAAAACCAGGGGGCGTCTGGTATCCGCTGTCACATCCCTACCTCCTTAAGCAGAATTCGAACTGGGAAAGTGTTCGGTGAGTAAGAAGGAACCCCCCACAGGCTCCTCAGCCTTAGCCTGGGACAACGCACCTTGGAAACCCCAGCTTCCAGGGCCCTGATATCAAGAGGTAGCTCTTCCAGAAAGGGTTTGGTACCCGCCGCTCCCTGCCCCCGCCACCATTGCCTACGCCTCCATTCCTTAGCTATAGTTACGGGATGTGTAAATTACCGTCAATGGAGTGACAAAGACTCAATTAAAGAAGCAGCTCTGAAGTCAAAGCCTTCACCTCTGAGAAATCAGACCTGACAAAGCGATGCCAATTGCAGCACGTGGCCGGGCAAGTGTTCCGGAGGTGAGCAGCAGCCGGTGGGGTCCCTGCCTGCCTCAGCCGCATTGAGCCTGGAGAAGAGCTGACTCCAGGGTCTTCCCAGGACCTATCAGGCTGCAGAGGTCCCATGTCCTGGCCTGGTCCATGTGCAGGGGCCCAGAGCAGAAGAAAGCTCTCTGCAGAAGGGGCAGGTGTTCTCTGAATGACTTTTCTGTCCTGAGGGCACACTCTCTGCTTGGAGATTACCACCCACCGTGGTCCCGCAGGTTCAGGGATACCTGAAAGACAGAAAAGCTACAGACTGGAGAAGAAAACAGGATTAACAGACAATCCGTAGGCTATTTCCGTGGTCCTGGGTGGGGTCGAAGCGGCTTGTATGCATGATCACAGGAGCTTCCAACACCTCGAGGAAGACTGTCCCTCCCATGTGTGCTAACCGAAGGGGTCCTGGAAAAGGGGAGAGGGTGCAACTAAATAAGCAGAGGCACAGACAGGCCAGTGGAGCCTGAGCTCATCAAAGACGAACATTTCCGGATGGGAGATGAAGGGACTGAGTTGGAGGGGAGGCCGTTTCCTCACCCATGGAAGCTGATGGAGCTTTAGGCTAAGAAAGCAAACCTTGCAGCCTCCTCCTTCCTCACAGAGATCACCAAACCCCTCCAAGAGGCTGGCATGGGGGCAGCTGCTCTTCCCAAACCCTGGAGAATTGCTGGGTACGAGCTAGGATATAGAGAAAGTCATGACCCAGCTCTGGGGAGCCCACATTTACACAGGGACACGGACAGAATGTAAGACGTGTGAGAGGACATACAACCCTCTCCGAGCTGATGGGACAGACGCTCCCGTGTCTCCTAAATACTGCCAAACAGCAAAATGAAGCGGAGTCCTCCTTCACTGCCCATGTCCCTCCCCTCTGAAGCTATCACATCCTGGGGTTCCTGATGCACATCTAAAGAGTCAAACCTGTTGGGACCAGCAGATTGCATGATGGTTACATAGCGGGACTCTCATGCAGTCAAAGAGGTTCGAGTCCAGGACCAGGTGGCTTAAAATTCACACCGGGTGCTTGTGCATGTGTGCCCAAGATCCCAAAAGGAGGGTGGAGGAGAAGAGGTGGTGGCATGGCCATCCCCCCTGGGGGGTGATTTCTCGTTTTCTGTCTCTCTTGTCTCTCCAGCGAGCAGACATTGCCCTATAGCAAAACCTCTCTTTTAAAAAAAAAAGCAATCAAACATTTCTTGCAGTTGAGACCCAGAGAACCCTGCGAGATAGAAGGTAGAGAAGCACGTTTGAACAAATATGGAGCATGGTGGTTTCAACTGGTTATTTGTTTGGTCGCATCACATAAGTGGAGCTCTCCCTTTAATGTGAATCTGCAATTTTCACCTAAATTATCTTCCAAAAGACTGTGCCCCGTGACAGACCATTAGAGGGAAGAATGATCACACATCCTGGAGCTAGCCACGCAATTACCAGTGAGGCCAGGCGGCCCCGGAAGCTGCCCAGCCCGCGGCAGCTTTTTCCGAGCTGGGAGGGGGGGAGGGGAGGGGCCTCTGCACCATCCTGGGGGACGACCACTCACTCAGAACAGAGCAGCATCTGTCAAACGCATCAGGCTGATTTCTCGAGACAGGCTGTTTTACTTCCAGCAATACAGAAGTCAATATAGGAAAAAAAAAAAAAAAGAAAAGAAAGAAAAGAAAAGAAAAGAAAAACTGAGTTTAATCAAATAGCAAAAGCTAGGGGGAAAAAACGGCATTTTCCAATATTCTTGAAATTACATTGGCAAGTCTCATGTGCTCCAGAGGCTCACGTCAAGCAGGCCTCGAGGAGCACAGCAGCCCTCTGGACGCTCTGCAGAACATAGGTGGAGCTGCCCTGGTGAAGAAGAGCCTCCACTCCAAATGCAGAGAGAGAAGATCCACATGGTATAATCCTGGTCCTTCCTGGAAAAGAATGCTATCGCTTGGCTAAATGCATTCCATCGTCCTCGTCAGAAAGAACTTGGCATGCATTTACTGAGGGGCTTCCATTTCCTCCTGAGATGCAGGCAGATGGCATGTCTTACAGTGTGAATCTCCTTAGAAGCAAGAAAATAGAACAGTGTCTTTGAGGTTTTGCTCTGGGCCAGGATCTGTGCAAAGCACCAGGACCCACTGTGGCTTCCGTCCTTGGGGAACTCATAGGCCGGTGGAAGGGACCAAGGAGCAAGCAGGTTATCCACGAGCAGTGTTGCAGGTTCTAGAGTGAGGACAGTCTGTCTTCAAGGACAATGCAAGGACACCAGGGTGGTTACCGGGGGAGCTGATGTCTAAGTGGAGCTGGAAAGGCAAGGAGTTGGTCAAGGCAAAGGACTGGAGGGCTTAGAGGCAGGGGAGCAGTGGATGCAAACCACCAAGTCCAATAGGCAGGGAAGTACCTGGGGGACAACAGAGTCCCATTTGGCTGGATTCCTGGGTGGCAGGCAGAGGGAACAGTCTCAGAGATACTGTTAAAGTTTAGATTCTGAAGGCCCAGAATTTGACCTGGACTTTATCCTGCCAGCAGAGTGAAGCCATGGAGAGGCCTAGAGCAGAGACAAACAGAGAGACTCCCAAACGCCAAGGTACCAACAACACAGCACAGGCAGGAGGCAGAGCAAGTGCAGAGAGGTCAGCTAGGAGGATGCTGCACCAGACCCGAGAGAAACCGTGGCTGAGCCAGAGCGATGAACGGGGGGGGGAAGGGGAGGGGAGGGGTGACTGGGCTTCAGAGTGCAGAAGCTGTGACGTCATGGGCTTGGGAAACTGGGTGTGGAGGGGGCAGTAGGAAGATGCCCTGGCAACCAGCCGAGCAGCAAGGCTGTTCACCAGGATGGGGAAGGGCGCCTTTAGGTTCCGGTGCTGACCCGGCCTGTGATCTGGAGCAGCAGGTGCTGAGCCTGCCCGTGTGCCAGGCCCTGAGCTGCCGGGGGAAAGAGAGGTGAGAAGGCATTGTCCTGGCAGTCCTCAGGCTCACAAGAGGGCAACCCACAGCCTGCATGCCCTGCCACGCTGACCTGAGGCCTGGGTCACTTCCTAGCTGCTTTCAGGTCCCAGTGGCCCTGGGTCCAAGGCCTATCCCCTAGCCAGGCTCACATAGCCTGGTCTTGCCATCAGGGGGCTGTCGTGCCTCATGGTCCCGGAGAGGAAGCAATTAAAGAGAGGGGGACTAGGGACCAGCAGTTGGCATAATGGCTATTCACTGGACTCCATGTAGTCGACCACCGTTAGAGTCCCGGTCCCAGTGGTTTAGACGTAGTCAGACCCGGTGGCTTAAACTCTGTCTGTCTCTGTCTGTCTGGCGAGCAGCACGTGCCCTATAGCAAAAACCTCTCAAAAAAAAAAAAAAAGAGAGAGAGAGGGAGGGTGCTCTGCAGCTCCATAAATAACGTGCTCCAAATCCCCCCAGGATCCCCTTCAGCTCTGGACTACAGGTTGCACCTGCACAAGGATATCCTAGACCTGGGCGACCAGACTCTCACTCTCTCCATCCTGTTTGCCAGCTCATACCCAGGGGCATGCAGGAACACACGCACACAGCAGGGCCAGAGTCTCCCCTAAAATGGGCAGCAACTTCGGCTGATGTGTTCCCCTGTTTATTCACCATCCTCTTTCCTTGCACCCTGTTTTGGAACCCCCAAAGCCAATGATTAAAATAATGGGGGTCACACATTGGTAATGACCCGTGTCATCCAAAGCACCTTTTTCTTCTAAGTGGGCAAACAGAAGCTCATGAGGGGCCGAGGAGCACCCCCACACCTCCCAGTCCAGTGTACTCTCCTACCCCACAGACCGCACCCACCCCTCTCTCCTCCAGTGCCAGCAGGGTGGAAGGGTATTCTGGAGGCTCTCTCCTGATTGGGTCGATCTGCCCGTTAACTGGGCTGACTCCCAGTTCCACCCCAGCCCAGAGCCCCCATGCAGGTGGGCACTCAGGCAGCTGAAGATTGGCTGTAGAAAAATCAGGTTGACCATGGTGCTTGACCACAGCCAAGCAGAGCTCACAGGGCCAGCCCGCCAATTTGCTTAGGATCGATTGCTCTCTGACCCCCCTCATCGGCCACCTGGCTAACGTCCCACCACCTGAAACGCCTGCTGACAGGAGGCCTTTTGCCATTCCTCCTCTGGTGGTGCAGAAGAAGCCTCTGCAGACAAGTGGCTCTTCCCAGGAGCCGTCCTGCTGGGAGCAGGCCGCCAGGGCAAAGTGGGTGGAGCCTTTCTGGAAAGCATCTTTCCCCACACTCACCCAGTGGGCCTGGCGGCACCCAGCCCCTCTCAGCTGCAATTTGAACTTCTTATCAGCAGACAAAGGATGGAGAAGGTTCCCCAAATGCAAAGCAAAAATGGCCTCTATAGAGGGCCAAAGACGGAGACATGAGGGCTGTGGACATTCACACATGACCCACGCCACCAGATCTGAGCTTACTCTTCAGCAGAACCGTGGAGTCCCACATGGCAGGGCCCGGCAAGGGAGAGTCCCTGCATGGAGACGTCCTTCCACAACACAATGTGGAAATGGTCTGGAATGAAATTAAGCGGCAGTTTGGTTACACTTTAATCACCGCAGGCGGATCAAGACGCCGCTGTGATTACAACAAAGGAATCTATATTTATTGTCTTGTGGGGATTTGCATCAGAGATAAGGGATCTTTCTGCAAGGCCCCCGCTTTACTCCTGAAGCCGTAGCCCTATAACTAGAGTCATTCGAGTGTGTCTTTCTCTTTTCTCCCAGAGCCAGGAGCCAGGAGGCAGGAGGAGGTGGGCCCTGGTCTGGGAAATTGAGACAGTGCCCTGAACCAAGCTTCAGCAGGTGGGGAGAGGCCCAGGGTAGGCAGTCTGCTTGCCAGGAGCAGAGAGCGCTGCACGTGCGTCACTGCTAGTGCAGAGAGCGACCAGCACAGCTGGCGAGTGGGAACCCGAAACACTAAGAGCAAGGACGAAGGCCTTAGAAGCTGTTCCAGACTCAGGCAAAGGAGAGCTTCAGAGGGTCTTCAGTTTCCCTTGCCTGTGCCCAAGAACGACACAGGCTAGAGAACATCCATCACTGAACAGGCACTCACAAAAGGCCTCCGCACGCCGGCTGGGGCCTACACCAGGGTGGAGGCGGGAAATGCAGCTGCCAAGGTACATAGAATGCCACCCAGCTGGGAGCACGGTGAAGGCGAAGCTGCACGGGCTCTCTGAGCTCCTAGACAGAAGCATGGGCCAGCCAACAGCCAGCACCACTGCCCATTCCCGACCTGGCACAGGGTGTGGACAGCAGCAGGAGAAGAGACACCGTTAGCTGCCTCATAGGGCTAGACAGCTCGGGGTCAGGTGAGAGTTGTCTTAGGAGGAAGCAGTCAAGTCGGTGAGGAGCTTAAACCCCACCCGCCAGGCAGCTACCCCTACCCAGTGGTGTCAGGAACAGACTCAGACCTGCCCTGAGAGCCAGCTGTGCACATTTCTCCCCAACTCCAAGATCTCAACATCAGCCACGGGGAGAGTATTTACACCACTGGAACCAGCAGACACCACAAGGGAAGCCTTGGTCCCCCTTACCAGGACACACGCTCCGCAGCCCCGCTCGGAGCAGCTGGAAGAAATGAGTTCTGGTTCTCCTCTGGTCTTAAACAAAGTCGGACCCATCATGTCCTTAGGGTTCTGTTAAGCAAACAGGTGGAAAAAATGCAATTCTAGTACAAGCTTAATCTGATTTTTTTTTAATTTTGAAATCTCTGCAGTTTTTCCAGAATACTCATTTCCAAGGACTTTTTGAAGACCCCTGGTAAAATATGTCCTCCCACCCCCAAAGTATGAAGGGACGGTGTCATGACTTTCAAATACGCAACTTCCTTTCCATGTTGGAGAGCCAGAAACAAGTGTGAGAGATCACAAAAGTGAGCTCTTACACACGGAGCAGGCTGGTGTATTTGTTTACACAGTGAGTGTGTAAGGCAGAATGCTTTACGTGACTAATGGAGAGCACCCTGTCATCGCCTTCTCTACCCCCTCTAGCAATCCAAGAAGTACTGATTTACTCTAAGTTTGTAGATGAGGAAACGGGCCCTCAGAGAGCCTGCGTGTGCAGGGCCGCTTCCAGAGCTAGCAAGAGCTGGGGTCGTTCCATGCTGTGGAGCTGGATTCTAATCTCAGGGGCTCCCTGGCAACCCCCTCTGGTCCAGAGAGGACCCGAGGGCACACCTGTGCATTGGTGCTCTCAGAAGACTGGGAGGGCCTGCAAACGAGAACGTGGCAGGATGGCACTCCTTTCTGGAGCCTCAGATACCGGGTTGTGGAACAAGGCTGACTCTCCTGGAGCCCGGCCCTCGAGAACACCGACAGGCTCTTCTCGATCCCTGGGATGAAAAAGGCACTCACAAGCTGACTGCAAAACTAGAACAAAGCCCCAGCAGGCCAGGCCAAGATGCTTCTCCTGGGTTGCCCCCTAAGTCTGCAGCTGTCTCAAGGGGCCAGAGACCATAAGGGCTGCCAGACGGTTTGCCAAACAGCTGCTGTCCTATGGGAGGACAAGGGGCATTTCTCCCACATGGACAGCAGAGGAAGCCCGGAGAGCTGCAGGGCCTGCAGAGGGCCTAGTCCATCCAGTCCCCTGATCTCCCATCTCCTGAGGGGTTGGTGGTTCCGTCCTCTGGCCTCTGAGTGGGGTAAGGATTGGACCAAATGTCTCCGAGTCCCTTCTAACTCAGACTTTGGTGCTGGAATTCCATCTCCTTCCTGCACCCTGAGGGCAGGGTTGGGAGGTTGGGCTCAGGTTCCAGCCACTGCAGTTTCCTTCTCCAGACTCTGAGCCCCGCCTCCCTTTCCTTTCCCACCTGCCACAGACAGGTAGAGGTCCTACGCCTGTGTGCAATGAAGCCATCTGAAGCCATTTGGCAGAACTAGTGGCTTAAGTGCTAAACAGACACGGGAAGCCAGACACTTTAGACATCCAGGGTGACAGAGACAACAGGCTAATCTGTTGTTCAGCAATAGATTGTAATTCTAAACACGATGTTTGTTACTCCACTGTGTGGATTCTAATTAACTGCCAGAGATGCATTGTTGAGGGGTGATGGATTATGCAGGGAAAACTATTACCACAGCTCATCCACTCCTGCCCATGTGCAGGCCGAGCCCGGAGCACTGACTCCAGAAGTGCCGACTGGGGGGTGAGGCTAATGCGGCTCCGGGCCTGGCCACGAGCATGCGAGCGGCACCGCCTCCCCTGCACCTGCAGGGACACAGATCGCTCTTTTCCAGGTCTCACAGTTGCAGCAGGCAGGAAGGTGGCATTAGCTGACATCTCACTGACCAGTAAATAATGCTAGATCGATGAGCCCAATTCAGCAAAACGGAAATTGCTGGAGACAGATAGAAGGTTCTAGATATGGGTCTGCCCGAAACAGTCACATGAGTGCAGAAAAGGTGTGAGATCTACAGAGAGCTCGGTAGGAATCAACCAACCACCCACAGAGCGAGTGCAAAATAGAGTCTGCATGGGGCCAGCCTCAGAGCACCATGGTGAAGCCAGATTCCACGCAGCTGGCTGCAGCTAGAATCCTGGCCCCAGTGACATCAAAACCACACCAAATGCATGTATGTGTGTGTCCAAAATTCTGAGAGAGCGGAGAAATGGAAGAGAGGGATTGTGGTGTGACCACGTGCCTCTTGGGGGCTGGGGTGGAGGTGCTTTCTCCCTCTCCTTATCTCTCTGTTTCTCTCTATATATCTCTCTCTGTCTGTCTCTCTTTGGCAAGCACATGTGCCCTCTGCCCAGCCCAAAATAGTCTGTGCTTTTAAGAAAAGCACATTATTGCCAAATATAATTCTACAAGGCTGTCCTCCCCTGCACATCAGTCATGCTGGTCAAACTATCCTGCGTGTTTTAAATGATTATATGAGGTCGCGTTTTCCAAAGAGACAGAACAGCTTCGAGTAACTGGTTCAAGTGTAAGTCTAAAACCTGTAGGGCAGGCCAGTAGCCTGGAAATTCAGGTAAGAGTTGAATTTCTTCTTTTGGGGAAACCTGTGCTTGGTCCTAAGGTGTCAACTGAAGGGTTGAGCCTCCACCCTCCCATGGAATGTCATCTATGTTATTTCGTTACAGTCTAGTGACTGCAAATGTCAGTCACACCTGCGAAACACCTCCGAGCAACATCTAGACACCAGCAGCAGCTAGTTTTTGGCCAGACAACCGTGTACCGTCGCCTGGCCAAGTCAACACGAGAAAACCGGCCATACAGAAGAACGTCAGCGTCTCAGCCTAAACTCATTCAGAGAGAAACACAACCATATGGCCGTCTCCTGTGAGGATCACTTAAAGGAACCGAAGATATTTGAGATTTACCTAAAACTGTATCTCACTGCATCTAAGGCACTTGTAATCATATTTATTATATTACACACTATTTATTAAAAAGGAATGACTCTGCCAATTAAACTAGGACACAGTGTACCCTTAAGACATAATTTATATTTTGTACTGCTCCGAAGAGCTGTTTAGGCTTACTATAGAAATTATTTTAATGATACATTATTCTTTTACATATGTGAAAAAAAGATCAATAAAGTAAGATTTTCTTTTTTTCTACAATTACTTATTTAATTTTATTTATTATTATTTTTATTTCTAGTTTGACCAGAGAGAGACAGAGAGAGAGAGAGAGGGAAGGGATAAAGCAAACCACCAGGTCCAGGACTCAAACTGCGGTTGGTCGTGTGGGAGTCCCGTACCTTAACCACCCTGCCAACTGCCTGCCCCAAACGTAAGATTTTCTTAAAACATTTTCACATTCAGAATTCAAAGCTGTGTATCTCTTTTGGGTTCCAGCTGGTGCTGTTCAGGTTGCTCCAAAAAGTGCTGTCTCTGTGCATCCCAAGCTCAGCTGGTGCAGCATCTATGGAGGAAGCTATACGAGAATGGAAAGCCATGGAGAGCTCTAAAGGGGGGTTCTGTGTTGGACCAGCAGATGGCATAATGGCTACGTCACTGGACTCCCATATAGTCAGCCGTGGTTCAAGACCCGGACCTGGTGGCTTAAATTACAGCCGGGCACATTTTTTTCCAAGATCCCAGGAGGAGAATGGAAGAGAAGGGATTGTGGTGTGGCCATCCCCCCTGGGGGTTGATTTCTTGCTTTCTGTCTCTCTGTCTCTCTGTGTCTTTCTGGTGAGCACATGCATCCTATAGCAAAAACCTCTCCAAAAATAAATAAATAAATAAAATTTTAAAATAAAAATAACTAAAGGGGGTTCTGTGATTATGAAGAGCTGGGCTACTTTTGACTACTACTTTGAGAATGTTGTTAAATACACGTAATTCACTATCCCCCACCACAATCTGATTCCTATGAGCCTAGAAAAATCAACCTATATTTTCTCTTGGGTGGTTTTCTTTTTCTTTTTTTTTTTTTTTAAGCTTTTACCATAAGGCGTGTTCACTTGCCAGAGTGAGACAGTGAGAGGGAAAGTGAGAAATCACCCTTCAGGGGAGATGATCACACACATCCCTTCTCCTCCTTCTTCCTCCTGGGATTTTGGGCACGCACACATACGCACCCGGTGTGACTTTCAAATTGCCAGATCCAGGACTCAAACTGTAGTCAGTCAAGTAGGAGTCCTTCACCACCACACCATCCACTGCCCCCCAGGTGGTTTTCTTAGCCACTGTCAACAGTTGCAAGTCTTCTTTTATTTTCCTTATGTTTATTTATCTATTGAGAGATAAAAAGGAAAAAAGAAAGAGAGAGAGAAAAGAGAAAGACACCCTTGATGGGTCTCACCACACAGAGATCCTCCTGGTCTCCAGCCTGGATCACGGGCGTCCACAGGCGCACACAGCATGTTCAGGTCAGCCTGGGGCCTAGGCCCTGTTTCCAGCACTGCACAGTGACACCCCGCTTCAGCCGGGGCTCATCTGCAAGTTTGGAAGCTGGAGCCTTGGGTGTTGGCGCATGTGCAGGTGCAGAGCCGATGCCTCGCTGAAGCCTTGAGGTGGTGGCACCATCCACCGCAAAGGTACCAGAACTGGAGGAGGAGACGAGCATGTCAAGCCAGTGGAACGCATTCACATCAAGCGACCCTTGAGCTCTCACAGTGAGGCCGTCCCTGGCACCTACCTGCCGTTAAGGTGCACAAAAACGAGCCCAGGTGGTGCTGCTCCACCCCCTCTTACAGACGGGCTAAGTGGGGGTCAGAGAAGTGAAGTAACTTGCCCAGGGCACAGCATCTGATTCCTATGAGCCTAGAAAAATCAACCTATATTTTCTCTTGGGTGGTTTTCTTTTTCTTTTTTTTTTTTTTTAAGCTTTTACCATAAGGCGTGTTCACTTGCCAGAGTGAGACAGTGAGAGGGAAAGTGAGAAATCACCCTTCAGGGGAGATGATCACACACATCCCTTCTCCTCCTTCTTCCTCCTGGGATTTTGGGCACGCACACATACGCACCCGGTGTGACTTTCAAATTGCCAGATCCAGGACTCAAACTGTAGTCAGTCAAGTAGGAGTCCTTCACCACCACACCATCCACTGCCCCCCAGGTGGTTTTCTTAGCCACTGTCAACAGTTGCAAGTCTTCTTTTATTTTCCTTATGTTTATTTATCTATTGAGAGATAAAAAGGAAAAAAGAAAGAGAGAG